CTGGTGGACGAGCTGGTAGAAGGAGTGTTGGCCGTTGGTACCTGCTGCACCCCAAATGATAGGCTGTATGGAGGATTAAAACGGGATAAGCAGAGCAAAAGCATAACTCACTCCAGTCTCATAGTTTACCCGATGTCCGTTCTTCGTCACAGTCTTGCCGTTTGACTCCATATCTCCCTACAGAAATCATACAATCAACATTGTTCGCAACGGATCATTGAGCACTCACCTGCTGGAAGTAGTCCGCAAACTTGTGCAGGTACTGGTCATAAGGCAAAAGCGCATGTGTCTGAGAGCCGTAGAAATCGTTGTACCAGAGCCCAACAGCAGCCAAAAGAACAGGCAAGTTTTTCTCTAGGGGAGTCTCTTTGAAATGCTTGTCCATTCCATGAGCACCCTTGAGCAGCTGCTCAAAATTGTCGTACCCAATCACCAACGCGATCGAAAGTCCAATCGCACTCCAGAGGCTGTATCGTCCACCGACCCAGTCCCAGAACTGGAACATGTTTTCCTGTGCGATACCGAAAGCGGTGACAGCCTTGGTGTTGGTACTCAAAGCGACGAAGTGTTTCGCAACGTGGGCTTTATCCTTGGCTGAGGCGAGGAACCAGTCCTTTGCAGACTCGGCATTCGTGATCGTCTCCTGGGTCGTGAAGGTCTTACTGGCGATGATGAAGAGTGTGGTTTCGGGATCACAGGCGCGCAAAGTTTCCGCGATATGGGTTCCATCGATGTTGGAAACAAAGTGCGCGGTGATGTCACGTTTGGAGTAAGGCTTGAGAGCTTCGGTAACCATTACTGGACCAAGGTCGGATCCACCGATACCAATGTTGACGATGGTGTTGATTGTCTTTCCAGTGTATCCCTTCCACTCACCGCTCCGTACAGATTCCGAGAAGACCTTCATATGTTCGAGAACAGACGCGACTTCATCTGTACCTGCTTCCTGGATTTGGAAGTCATTGAAGTTTCGGAGAGCAACATGAAGGACAGCACGGTCCTCGGAAGTGTTGATATGCTCGCCAGCAAACATCTTGTCGCGGAAAGTCTCTACTTGAGCTTCTCGGATGAGAGAGAGAAGATCATTGAGAATGGGCTCAGTAATCAAGTTCTTCGAATAGTCCAACAGAAAAGTAACATCGGGACCAGTTGTCGAGTTATATTCTGTGGAGAATTTGGAGAAACGATCAGGATCCTGGGCGAAGAGATCCTTGAGGATCAGTTTCGACCGTTCTGAGTCGTATATGTGCTGTAATTTCTTCCAAGAATCGTAGTCTAAGTTTAACATAAGACGCTGAACAGGATACAGAGAGGGAAATAAAGATACCTGAGGCAAGTTTTCCTGACATGATGGGCGTAGGTGGTTGAGAAGGAGCAAGTGCGGGAGATTCTCCTAAGTAACGCGCCGGCCTGAATCCCGGTTTCTCTCGCAAGCCGTTTTTGGCCATTCTCTGTAGTCAGCTAGCCAGCTTCATAATTCATTTGCTCATTATCGATGGAAAAAAGCACCGGACACGCCTGACCGCGTTGGATTCGTAAACCAGTAAGTTGCAGTCCAAATTTCTGTCCAGTGTCTGATTTAGTGGGAATATCTGTTGGTTATGTATATATCTGCGAATGCCTCTTCCAACTCGACGACTTGCAACCAGATGCCTGTCGTAGATATCATGAAGTCCTACAACTTTAGACATCTTGTGTACTTTCTCCCCGAGAGCCATTCCTACCCAGGATGTCTGAATCGGAGTCTCGAGACTCTAAATTCCAAACAGACTGGTGCAGTCATGTATCGCCCCAGAACGCCTCGTTGACAGTGCCAACCCTTGTCCCTCTTCAGATGAACCAGCGGTCCAATTAATCGTTGAAAACCCTTGCCGATCTGTTATACTGGACATCTACAGTCTACCTACTTACTTCGATCTCGCGATCTTGAAGTTAGCATGCACTGCAAGAATCATCATATTCAGTGATCTAATTGGGATAAAAGAGAAGTACATTTTTCGTCTTTCTTCAATGTCTGTACATCTGAATTCAACAGTTTATAGCGTCCGATATCATTGGACCAGAAAAACATTGTTGTAAAATCGTTGATCATAACGAGGCTCCTCATCCTCTTCCAAATCGTAAATCCTCCTCGTCATGCCTGGCTTTGGACCTTCATTATCTCGCGCACCTAATCAAGACTTTACAGTACTGGTCGAGCTGACACTTTGACTGACAGAACAGCTATCGTAAAGCTGTTCAATTCCCTCACCAACATCGGACCGTACATCTGGACTTGAAACCTTCCAATATCACTTTTGATATGGAGAACACCGGGATTTTCACTCGAGCGAGCCGTTCGGAACGATGTCGGAAGTTGTAAGTAGGGATACGGTGTTGTTTGGTCCGAGCATGGCATACGAGGATGAGGGTTGAGGGGTGCGGGCAATGTTTTACACATGTACGGTGGTGGATTTTTCTTGGGACGTTATGCCTAGCTAAGGGATCGCCCCTCGTGCACTTCTCATGATAGAGGTATTTTTGAAATGCATCGGTTTTCTCACTTCCACGCCAAGTTCTACAGACCTATATATGTACTACATACGTGGAATAAAAGTCTATCCTTCGACGTATCACCTGGCTTTGCCACTTCGTACTAGAGCTGAAGAGGGTATATAACGGCTGACTTGTTTACACGAATGTTTCTTCTCGCAAGTCGCTTTTTTGCCATTCTACAAGGTACGCTAGTGTATCAGCCACTATCAAGGTCGATCAGTTCTACATGTGAATATAGTGTATAGTGTAACAGAATCGCACTAGGGACTACTAGGGACGACTCCTAATTAGCAAAGGACCGGACTTGAAGTAACATGTTCTTCATGTTCCTCGCTGAATACCCTTGGCCACTATAGGAGCATGAGAGTGAGAAGCTTGGCAAACTACCCGGGTCTAGTTCTTTACATATGTGGAAAGCTGTGGAAAGTCGGACGAACAACCGACAATCTGACAGGATTGGCTATTTCATCAATTTGGGGTTTTCAGTGCAAATGGCAGCATGAGAACCGCCCTAAGGAGAACGGAGAATGCATGATTCGACAGACGGTCTGCATGATGTAAAAAGACATGTGGGGATACTTTACATTCATATACAGTTAGATGAAGTAGATGGTCTGGTACGTCAACAATAATGATAGGTTGTAAGAATTTCTAGTCGAGAAGGCAATCAGAAACATCGAGAAGAAGCTATGAGAAATAACTGACCATCCTCCTGGTTAGTTCGTCGCCTGTGTGTTCTGAGTAGCTCCTGCGCCTGTCACGCCAACAACCAAGCCCTTTAACCAGTTGTTCTCTCGTCTGAGAGTCTCGCATTCTTTCTCGAGACCAGTAACCTGGTCCTGAAGCTCCTTCGCCTTGGCTTCCAACGCAGCCTCGCGTTCCTTCTTCTTCTGCCGGAACCGAGCGCTAGCGGCAGTGTTCCGCCGACGCTTGTCTTCAGAAGCAGACAGGGGGGTGGCAGAACTAGATTCCGGAGAAGCAACGGACTCGGGAGTCTCAGCCAATGCGACGGAGACCGATGATTTACGAGAACGAGAACGTTTAGCAGGAGGTGGAGGTGTAGCATCCTCAGGAGCGGAACGTGTCTGCGGGGCAGGTGCAGGTGCCGGGGCCAGTGAAGGCGCAGAAAGGAAGCTGGGAGGCATCCCTAGCGACTGCTGCTGGGCCATCAGCTGGGCTACGGATAGATTAGCGAGCTGGGGAGCTGCCTGCTGCTGCTGAAGGAGAGTCGACAGAAGAAGCTGCAGGGCATCGACATTTCCAGGAAGAGTAGGAGCAAAAGGAATGTGAGGCTGAGACGGCTGATGAGCCTGCTGTCCCCACATATTTCCATCAAATCCAGAAAAGCTCTGTCCTTGTTCGACGTTACGTGCTTCCTCTGCTCCCTCGTTCCTCTTTTTCATATCAGACTTTTCCTCTGGTTCCTGTCCATCTTCCAAGTTGAATGGCAGTCTGTCCCAAATTTCGAGGGACAGATCGCTTTGGGAGGGTGCTCCAGATAATAGGTCATTGTTATCTGTAGCGGGTTGATGCGTATAGACGACGTTAAGTCCGTCTAAGGAATAAGGCATCTTTTAAATAATTCTGTGCCAATAAAATGAGGGGAAGGCAAGGACGTAGACTAATCTCTCTTGAGGAGACGGTGATGGTCACAGATTAAGAGAGAAAAAGCAAGTTTCCAATTGCCGCAGGCCCGCAAGCGACGGCAGAATGATGCTCCTAAGGACGGAATAATTGACCGGTCTTCCGGAGTCCGCATGCTGGTCGACGTTTTGGTGAGCAGTCCATATGGCCGTCGGACCCGGAGTTTATGGATGTAACAGCGGGTCTGTCGAGGTTAACGGTATAATCACCACCATTGCACATCTATGTCTACTGCCTGAATATCACTAACACAGAGCGCGACGGCGGTGTTATCTCCTATCCGGTGGATAAAACGCTTTGATTGAACAGGCTAGTCAAGGCGGTCACGGTGGTGTCAGCTGCTGTTCAAGCAAGAAAGTACTAGTACGAAATTTCTCCGAAAAATCAGCAACCTTCCAAAGGGCGGAACTTAGTCTAAGGAACTCCATTAAACTAGCACTGACATATAACATATGATATATAAGGCTAGTACGAAACATCAATTGAATTGTAAAATCTGCCATTCGCGTCTCCAGGCTCTCGCTCCTCTCTCCCCGCTCATCCAACACCAAGAATCAGGGTTCCGGCCTATTTGTCTATCTGGCTTCCCTACTGGTATGTAGTATAGTATAGTGTAGCTCATGGAACTGTAAATCAAATGCAAATTGGCACTTCCTGTCCGGGGTTCTCTGCGGTCCTGTCTAGTTAGTAACGAGCGTGCAAGTCCTACACCATTCATTCGACTCTTGAGATCAATCTAGTATCCTTGTTGGAGTGGAGATCCTTTCGGTAAGAGTTGCAATGTCACTTGAGATGTGTCTGTAACTCAACTTAAGTTCGTAACACCGTTGGTGAAGTGGTTATCATGCTTGCCTTCCATTATGGAACTTGAGATTATTTCATGAAGCAAGCGGCTCGGGTTCGATTCCCGAACGGTGTATGGCCTGTTTTGCAGTGCGTGCCTTTTTTTTTTTTGAGAAACGTCTATGTAAAACCGTTGATGACTGCTATACAGCCTACTTGGTAATTTCTGTCCGAAATTTGCCTTTTTCATTTCTAATACTACTACTAGCACATTTTGTATTACATCCAGAGTGAGCTCGCTTCACTTTTCCCTACTTAACAACTTTCAAAACTCTCCCATCCCTTTTTCATAAGATATTCAACGGCGGAATGAACCTCACCATCTCATACACGCTCGTCATTAACAACAACATTCCCTTCTCGATGCACTCCTTTGCTACCCGACTACCCATGCCTTTCTTCATTGTAAGCCCTTTTGGTGTCGCAGGATCGAAAGCGGCTCCAGGAGCTTCAGAGGAAGTAAATTCCGCGGCGACCACGATGTAAGGAGCTAAGGCCGGGTCATCATTTAGTTCTGGAGGGCGAACAGTTCTTTCAGAACATGCACTTTTCCTGTTCCTTCTCTGCAGTCTTGTCGGTATCCACTCTGAAACGGTGAATAATGCTCCAAGGCCTACAACCCCAATTGAAAACTTTTAAGTTTTCATTGTACCGCAGAACAAGGAATCACTGGCACTAGGATCGATGTATGTAAAATACTCCGATTTCTTTTTGAAATCACATATCCCCAGTTCAGGCCCATATCCATCTCATTACACCGCGCTTGGCAACATTGAGGGCTTCATCACCGCGGATTCAAGGTCAGCGAGGAGTGCACGAGGCGGGCGGGTACCCTGGAGTTTCAAGTGTTATTAGTAGGGACTTAAAATAAATAAAAAAATTATGGCTTTGGAATGCTTCTGATGTTTCTTGACGGTAGCTGTTGTGGTTGTAGTCGTGCGCATAGTTCTGGAGATGGCCTCCAATGGAGATGGGGTGATAGCTTCGCGATACTGTTAGAGGCTTCTTCCTGAAAGTTAGACATAATGGATGTTGCTCAAGGCGAGAGGTGAATACTGTATGGGAGCTAGCTCAATTATATAGTATCAGATGGTACTCGCCAATAGAATGCAAAATAGAACGCGAGATGGTACTTTGAAGGCGCTTAGCTCGGCCCTTGCTAAGTAACGCTTTGACCTTACCTCAAAAGTAAGTATAACAAGACTGAATGATTAGAGCATGGAAGAAAATCCCAAAGAATGACAGAAACCACATGTAACTAATTATTTACCGTAAAAGCATTGTTCGAAGTCTTAGTGCTACGGATTTCGAGGTCAGCAAGGAATGCACGAGCCGCGCGCCGAGTACCCCAGAGATTCAAATACTTATTAGAGTTTCGTTAGACTCGAATTGAAGGAAAAGTTACGACTTTGGCATGCTCAGGCTTGTCGTGTTTTCTTTGTGGTCTTGGATAAGCCAGACTCAGGCTGTGGCTAGTTCAGAGTAAATAGAGTAAGCATAATCAAGAGACAAAAGTCAATTTACAATACTAGTTCAACTGAAGGGTTCTGGCTGGGCTTTAGCCCCGCGCGGGTGAATAGCTCCAAATTTCACTGGTCACTAAGTAAGCACTCATAATTTAGCAACAAACAAGGTAAAGGTCAAATTTAACTTACAGCATCTCCGTTCTGGGATATAGTCACTTTCTGAAGGTCATTCCCTTACCATCAGGGTCTACTTCCGCGGTGAAAGAGCGGGATCTGAAAGGAAGCATAACCTTGATGAGCAAAAAATAAAACAACGTATGGAAAGATGCAATCGTACGCATTAAAGTCGGTGGCATTGGCGATGAAAGTTCCAGTAGTAGCATCAGCGACAATAGGGGTGCTTGTGTCTATAGTCAAGGCCACATCAGGAGTCATGATTGCGCGTGCATTGATTTGCACCGAGATGGCCAAGAGCGCAGAGACGGTCGCGAAAGCTTTGGAGAACATGTCTGACTGGTAGTTCTGAGGAGGTGATTGAAAGAGAGAGAAAAGAGTTGCTAGTGAATGAAAGAGCGTAAATTATTTCTTTCGCGGAAAGAAGGGTAGGGATTACAAACTACAGCGAAGTAAGAAAGTGAGGAGGGAGGAAAGGGGACTGAAGAATATGCATCACTAGTGAAACCCTCTTTATACTCGTTTTTTGAATTGCTTTCTTGTTCAAACAATTCACATTCGCTTACAGTCGTTTGCAATAGACCTCGGAACGGCCTCGGAATGCTGTTCGAATATCTTCTGCTTGCTCGAGATGCTTATTAGAGGTAACGTCAGTGGTTTATCTTTAGATTGAAACAAAAACAAGTAAAAAATTTTGAACATCATTCAAACAACTGTAATGTACAAGTTTTCATCAGCATACTTGAAGCGGAGGACGGTCACATCTGCTATGCAGAGCGCTATAGTTGGATGCGGCACAAAGCGGGAAAACGTAGGGATTAACTTGCTTTGAGCTGAAATGGCTCCGAGAAAGAAAACCCAAGGACTGGGGAGGAGTTTACATACATCAGGAAACCTTATAAAACAATACCTGACTTGCATGGTGGGGAAGGGCCTTTGAGAGACAATTACTTGGCATATCTGACGGAATCTATGTGTTGCTAGAGCAGAATTACTCGTCCCAGCGCTTGGCACGAGTAAATTACCTTGACGATGAGCGAGGCGGGAAGTGGCTAGTATTTCATCGGACAATAGAGATTAAATTCGAGAAATGATCATGAAGCTTGGGCTTTCCGCCTACTTACCCGGGCCGCACTCGACTTGTGCTCAAATGGAGATGGGGCGATAATTTCGCGATACTGTTAGAGGCTTCTTCCCAAAAGTTAGTGTTGGAAAATTGTCCCTGCAGGGAGGATTCGTGTCCAGTTTCGGATGTAGAGATGGGAAGAGGGAAAATTACAGTGGCGGCGCTTAATAATGCAACACGCAAAATTTGGCCATATCTTGCTCAGTTCTTGACCAATTCCTTAGGTCTAAGTTGTGGACTTAAACTTTCAGATCTGTAGTAGATGATTCCAGCTATAAAAAGTACCAAATATAGTAACTGCACAAGAACAATGCAAATACAGCAGTAATTTGCAATCCCCCAAAACTAGAGGAGTGGAAAATTTTTTGAGGAGCTTTGAGTGAGCACCAATGGATTCTCCATGAAAAACAGAATACCCCACTCTCTTACAGCTAGTGATTTGGATAACTGGTTCCTGAGATATGGCTGATACAAAATGGCCATTTTGGGGCTTTCGGAGCAAAAATAGGGCAAAAAGGCTGAAAAAGGCCAAAAATAGTGTTTTTAAAGTCTCAATATCTCGGGAACCAGTCATTCAAATCACTAGGTGTAAGAGGGTAGAGTACTCTATTTTTCATGGAGAATCCATTGGTGTTCACTCAAACCTCCTCAAAAAATTTCCCACTCCTCTAGTTTTGAAGGATTGCAAATTACTGCTGTATTTGCATTGTTCTTGTGCAGTTACTATATTTGGTACTTTTTATAGCTGGAATCATCTACTACAGATCTGAAAGTTTAAGTCCACAACTTAGACCTAAGGAATTGGTCAAGAACTGAGCAAGATATGGCCAAATTTTGCGTGTTGCGTTATTAAGCGCCGCCACTGTATATCTATGAAGAGCATTGAGGAGGTTGATAGACAGTTCGGGATAGTCGAGTGTGAAAGAGGCAAGCCCAGAGATTCCGAGTTGATTCAATAGCTGAATGATACATATCCATTTGCCTGGATCCACTGCGTTGCCGTTGTGCTGATGTGAGCTGCCAAATTTTGAGCCAGGATTCGATCGATCCGAGCAACTGTGCTTTCTTTCTAACCAGGAGCGGACTACAGTAAGTACACGTGAACGGGACTTGCATCGTACAATGCTCGATTTACGCGCACAAAGAGAAGAGCGACTAGATAATGTTTGTCAATTCAACGTCCTCAGAGATCAGTACATAATGACGTAGCAAAATGTGGGAACATCAACCAGGTCGACCAAGGTCAGTTTTTTGTATACTGTATGGGAGCTGGCTCAATTATATATGTAGCGTCAGATGGCACTCGCCAATAGAACACTTTGAATGCGCTTATGCTAAGCAACACTTTGACCTTACCTCAAAAGTAAGTACAACAAGACTGAATGATTAGAGATCCCAAAACAATAACAGAAACAACACGTAACTAAACAGTCACCGTACAAGCATAGAAATAGAATCGTAAATCATGAAGGATGCGCATTGCAAGTTAAAATAGTTTCAAGATAGTGCTACCACCTTTCTCCTCAAAGTCTCCTGTATATCGGAAATCGTCCGGGCAATATCGACAGTTGGTGGAGCTCCAGGGATGGGGATCGTCAAGCGCTGCTTTGTCGTGTTCAGTGAGACCTGCACATTTGGAACGACACGCGGAATAAAGTCTGTAATAAGTTTGTCCTAAAAGTGGGATATAAGGATGGGTATGACTAGAAGAAGACATGAAATCCATACCTCAGGACGTAATATAGCGACAAGTCTCTGCAACCACCAAAGGGAGGTTTTGAAGGTCTCGTCGCCAGCGCTGGTCTCTCCAACAATCGAAGCCAGCTAACGCAAATAAACAGTCAGAACAGAAAATGAATCAAAAAGAGATAGGAGGCTCACTCGGTGCACCAGCGTCAAGATGACCGCCTGAGAGACCAGAGACGGTCCATTCAATGGCATAATGACATCTGGATCGGTCGATGCTAATAACTCTCTGAGTTTGTTGGTATCCTGGGTGTGCAACACGCTCAAGTAAACCTCATCCCATTGATCTGGGGGTATCGAAGGGGAACGTTGAGGCTGCGGGTGTGCCGGCGGAGGAGGAACAACCGGATGAGACGCTTGTGGCGCCGCAATAGTACCAAACCATTGCGCTTGAGCACCTTGCGGCGGATAGGCACTGCCCTGCGCACCCATCGTGTACGAAGAAGGCATCTGCGACGCCAATTGCGAGGATATCTGCGAAGAGGCGATTTGGGACGAAGAGGAAGGCATAGATTGCAAGGTAGGCTGTCTATGACTTGGAGGTTGTTGGTTCATTTGGTTCAT